GTCTTATACCCAATAGCTGCCTGCAAAATGCAATGTCGTTACCACATACATTGCATACGAGGCCGCCGGGCGGCCTGAGGCGGGGGCCGTGGCCATGGCCGTCTGCGCCTGCGCCGGGCGCCGCTCCCCTCCCCCGCGCGCGGCGGCGGCGCCAGTCTTTGTCTGAGCCGCTGGGCCTCGGAGGCGGTCCCGGCCGGCCCTTCGGAGTCCGCGCGCCTTCGGCGGGGGCTGCAGCGCCCTCCCAGTTGTCGTCCTGCGGCTGGAGCCGGAGTGGGCTGCCGGCTGCTGGCAGCCGGGCACTCGCGGAGCCGGGCGGACCTCGAAAGCCTGGGCTGGTCTTGTTCTGAACCGTGGCGAGGGGAGCCGTAAATGAACGTTTCTAGCGTGGGTTCCTGCCGGGTACTTTCCAGCCCCCCAGCCACACGGGAGAGCCTCTGTGTAGCCAGCGCTTGGCAGTCGTTAGGTAGGTTGTACCGTAGGGACAGTGCAAGATCATGACGGTTGTCTCGGGAGAAAGCGGTGGCGTCTTTGCAAAACTGTATACCTGCTGTGGTGTGTGTTTTCTTTTCTATTGAGGTAATGAAGTTGTAAGTTCACACTGGCACATTCTCAGGGCTGTGCAGATTCTTTGCACTTTATTTCATAGGCGCATAAGTGCTTTTTAGCTTTCTTTGTATATTGAGTTGCTTTTGAATTGCTTCCCATATTTTTATTTCATACAAACTGAACAATTGTGGCCCCTCTATTTTATTTATAAAGGTTCAGTGTATCTTTGCCTGCCTACATCAATCTGCAAGGGAGTTGCAGAAAAGCCTCATGTTCATCGAGCCGTGAGTCACAACCAATTTCTAAGCTGTTATAACAAAAAAGTGTTTGCTTTTTTTCCACAAGTAACTTTAAAAGTGTAGTTTAGAAAGAAAACATTTTCAATAAAAAGACACTACATTAGTCCTGGATGCTTGCAAATCCTAAAATATATCCCTCCTCTAGTATTACACAGCTCTGTGTCATATACACAAATTAGCTTTAAAATTTGTCACATACCACTTTGCCTTTACTTTTATGTATCATTCCCCCTGACTTCCTTACTGCAGGTGTGGGCAAGAAAACTTTTCCTTTAAAACTTTTCAACAGCGGGCATAAAATTCTGCAGCTGAGGTCTTGAAGAATGCAGATGGGTACAGTATGTGTTGGAGCTCACAGTGTGTATTGACTAACCTAGTTCTTTTCTGCTTTCTTTGGTATTGTCTTGTTAAAAGTGACTCCAGGTGCCAACTCTTTTTTAAGGGTGGGGATAAAAGGAGGATAGGAAGAATAGGTCTAGATTATTTAACAGTCAGTAATAGAGTTTGAAAGCTGCTTTCTTCATGTAATTTTAGGCAAAACACTGTCTATGTATTTGCCCACAACAAAAAGATTAGATTAATAAGTAGCTTTTGTTGGTGGAAATTACCAGCTGTCTAAGTCATATGTGGTGATTCATGGCCCTCTGATCAGCATGGGTTTTGGTATCTCATTGCCCACATGTATATGTGGGGCTAATGGCCTTTGGTGTGCAGCTTTTACTTCTGACTCCTTGACTTCTTTGGCACAATGATGGAGTCACATCTCTTTAAGTGTGATTCCTCATGATATACTTAGCCTCAAAAAGCCTGTATTCCACTCCATTTATAAATATCTTTAGATCAGCTTTTCAGTGTATTTGATGGGGAGAACACAGAAATGATAGTCTGCAAATCATCCAGGTGAATTGTTGTACCAGATATCCTTTTGTGGTTAACGTGATAATACTGTCTTATTTAAAACCGCAAATGAATTTCAGGAGACGAAACCAGACAGAGGGTCAAGTTTACAGATGACCGTGTCTGCAAGAGTCACCTTCTGGACTGCTGCCCCCATGACATCCTGGCTGGGACGGTAGGTGCCTTTTGGGGGATCTCATGGAACATAGCCTGTGTGAGCAGTGAACGATTTTCAGATCGAGTTGTTTTTCTAACAGGCAGAAATCACCTGCTACCCTTCAAATGATAGATTCTTTTAGTTTGGTGGAATTTTATATTATGGAACAAATTTCACTGCTGTAAGATTCTATCTGTGAAGTTATCAGATTTTTGTAAAGTCATATATACTTATATTGAATTATATCTAAGTAGTTCAAGTATTCTAATTTGTCTGTAGCAAAAAGTATGCTTTAGGTCAACCTGTAGTTCTTTGAAGATTCTGGGTGGGTTTGTGTGTTTGATTTCAAGTTGAATGTGTGCTGGACTTTTTATCTAGCAAGGTACATTTTCTTCTCCGTATTTTTTGTTTTTTAAAAATCAGTTGTGGTTAACATTGATTTTGTAGTTTTGTATTCTGCTACCCTTTCAAGAAATCAACACACTATCCAGTGAATATAGACCCCTATAAAATTTTATCTTAACACCACTTCAGATGAACAAAACATAAATGTTAGTTTCATGAAATGTGCGTTTATTTTTTTGTTTTTTTTGTTTGTTTTTGTTTTTTCCGTGACCGGTAAGGGGATCACAACCCTTGGTTTGGAGTCGCCCACACCACGCTCAGCCAGTGAGTGCACCGGCCAGTCCTATATAGGATCTGAACCCGCGGTGGGAGCGACGCTGCGCTCCCAGCGTTGCACTCTCCCGAGTGCGCCACGTGGCCGGCCCGAAATGTGCGTTTATTCAAAATGAAATAAGAGTTTAAGAAGACTAAAGCATGAAGGATTATCTGCTGTGATTCAGCCACTTAGAGAGGAGTCCTACAAAGACCACTGCCATTTTAAGATTTCAGAGTTGTCTCATGGAACATAAAAAACATCTACTCGTTTTGAGGGTGAAATGTACATGTTCTAGGGAACATTTTCTTTGTGGTGAATCATTGCTTTTATTATTACCATTGTGTGTGGGACATTTGGAAAATGCTCAGATGTATTAAATCTTCTCAAGCTGGCTTTTCTGACAGCAAATACAAAGTGAACACCAAACCTTGTGCCTCTGTTACTTGGGATGTTGCCTGTAGTAGGTGTAGGGAAACATTATAACTATAGTTTGCTGCAGATTGGTGATTTCCGTTAGTCATAAGCAGTTTTGCTGTAGGGTACTTCTGCAGGAGGCACGACCTGGATTGTTGGTAAATCCATGATGTGAGAAGTCAGAGATGGATATGCACACCAGTGAAGATTTCAACCGTGTTTTCCTTCATCAGAGCCCTGTGTAGCATTGCTCTGGAATATTAGTGAGAAAAAAATATTCAGAATGGGGTATATTGTTACGTATAGATTAATTCATTTATTCAGCACCTATGCTGTTCCAGGCACTGGTGATACAGTCCAATAATGAAATCTTTTTTTTTTTTTTTTTTTTTTTTTCC